TGAAGTTGAGTTGCGCTACGTGAAAACCACGGGGCAGCCGGCTGACATGATGACCAAGAGGCTGGTGGAGCAGCAGCATTGGAAGTGTTGCAAGCTGGCTGGGATGGCTCTGAACTGAGAGAGCAACATATCCGAAGGCCAACAATCCGAGGGGGAGTTTGTTGGTGCAACCCTATGGTTTGCACTCGGCTTGTTGTCCGTGTGCGTGCATGTGTGTGTGTGTATGGAATGGTATGAGGGCATGGGATAATATATATTTCATGCTTATAATTGTGTGTGAATGTTGAGTCATGATGTCGAGTGTATGTGTCGGGTCAATAGCGAGTTATCGCTAGACGCGTGTTACGCGGTCGTTTGTGTCTCGCGCGCGGTTTCTATTTTGTCGTGCGCGGTTTCTATTTTGTCCTGTGTCGAACGTTCGGTGTGTCGCAGGTGTGTGCAGCAGACCCATCAAGAACTCAAGGATGAGTTTGTGATGAAGAGCCCGAGCCTTGGTGTCAAGTCTCAAGTGATTTCAAAGCTCGCCAAAAGGGTACACCTCAAGATATTGAAGATAGTTACATTACTTTGTGTAGTGTAACATTTCACTTGGTGTAGGCCCTAGTGAAGGGTAGTTTCGAGACCCTTCGTGGTTGGGGACAGTGTGGCACTGTTCCACATCACTGTACCTCGGCTCTTGGGGTTTGTAGGACCTGGGAGTCATTCCCAACTCGTAACTCTTCAGATCTCTTCCTATTTTGTGTTCTAAGACTATAGTGGCTGCCATAGTGCCGTTCGTTCAAACCGGAACTGTGTCGTCAATACTTGGTCAAATCGTGCGATCTAAATTGCCTATTGTAGGCGACAATAAGACGCTCCAGATCCAAGTTGAATCAAGTCATTTGAAGCTGTCACCAGAACGCTATGAACGTTTGAAGCCGCTGTGCAGAAATCGGACTGTGCACTCTATCTTTCGTTTTAGGCACATTGGAGCCTACTGTGACTATAACATGTTCAACGCACCGTGTGTTGAACCCACCATGTTTTGAACCCACCGTATGTTCAACCCAATGTGTGTTCAACCCACCATGTGTTCCACCCACCGTGTGTTCAACACACCGTGAGTTGAACCCACCGTGTGTTGAACCCACCGTGTGTTGAACCCACCGTGTGTTGAACCCACCGTGTGTTCCACCCACTGTGTGATCAACCCACCGTGTGCTCAACCCACTGTGTGTTCAACCCACCGTGTGTTCCACCCACCGTGTGTTCAACGCACCGTGTGTTCAACCAACCGTGTGTTCAACATACCGTGTGTTCAACCTACCGTGTGTTCAAACCACCGTGTGTTCAACCCACCGTGTGTTCAACCTAACGTGTGTGCAATCCACCGTGAGTTCAACCCAACGTGTGTTCCACCCACCATGTGATCAACCCACCGTGTGTTCAACCCACCTTGTGTTCAACCCACCATGTGTTCAACCCACCGTGTGTTCATCGCACCGTGTGTTGAACCCACCGTGTGTTGAACCCACCGTGTGTTCAACGCACCGTGTGTTCAACCCACCGTTTGTTCAACCCACCGTGTGCTCAACCTACCGTGTGTTCAACCCACCTTGTGTTCAACCCACCGTGTGTTCCACCCACCGTGTGTTCAACGCACCGTGTGTTGAACCCACCGTGTGTTCAACCCACCCTGTGTTCAACCCACCGTGTGTTCCACCCACCGTGTGTTCAACGCATCGTGTGTTGAACCCACCGTGTGTTCAACCCACCGTATGTTCAACCCACCGTGTGTTTAACCTATCGTGTGTTCAACCCACCGTGTGTTCAACCCAGTGTGTGTTCAACCCACCGTGTGTTCCACCCACCATGTGTTCAACGCACCGTGTGTTACACCCACCGGGTGTCCAACCCTCCGTGTGTTCAACCCACCGTGTGTTCAATCCAACGTGTGTTCAACCCACCGTGTGTTCAACCCACCGTGTGTTCAACCCACTGTGTGTTCAACCCACCGTGTGTTAAACCTACCGTGTGTTAAACACACTGTGTGTTCAACCCACCGTGTGTTAAACCCACCGTGTGTTAAACCCACCGAGTGTTAGACCCACCGTGTGTTAAACCCACCGTGTGTTAAACTTATCGTGTGATAAACCAACCGTGTGTTCAACCTATCGTGTGTTCAACCCACCGTATGTTCCACCCACCTTCTGATCAACCCACCGTGTGTTCAACCCACCATGTGTTCAACCCACCGTGTGTTCAACCCACCGTGTGTTCAACCTATCGTGTGTTCAACCCACCGTGTGTTCCACCCACCTTCTGATCAACCCACCGTGTGTTCAACCCACCATGTGTTCAACCCACCGTGTGTTCCACCCACCGTGTGTTCAACGCACCGTGTGTTGAACCCACCGTGTGTTCAACCCACCGTGTGTTCAACCCACAGTTTGTTCAACCCACCGTGTGTTGAACCCACCGTGTGTTCACCCACCGTGTGTTCAACCTACCGTGTGTTCAACCCACCGTGTGTTCAACCTACCTTGTGTTCAACCCACCTTGTGTTCAACCCACCACGTGTTCAACCCACCGTGTGTTCAACCCACTGTGTGATCAGCCCACCGTATGTTCAACCCACCGTGTGTTCAACCCACCGTGTGTTCAACGCACCATGTGTCCAACCCACCATGTTTTGAACCCACCGTATGTTCAACCCGCCGTGTGTTCAACCCACCATGTGTTCCACCCACCGTGTGTTCAACACACCGTGAGTTGAACCGTGTGTTGAACCCACCGTGTGTTCCACCCACCGTGTGATCAACCCACCATGTGCTCAACCCACTGTGTGTTCAACCCACCGCGTGTTCCACCCACCGTGTGTTCAACACACCGTGTGTTCAACACACCGTGTATTCAACATACCGTGTGTTCAACCTACCGTGTGTTCAACCCACCGTATCATCAACCCACCGTGTGTTCAACCTATCGTGTGTGCAATCCACCGTTTGTTCAACCCACCGTGTGTTCCACCATGTGATCAACCCACCGTGTGTTCAACCCACCTTGTGTTCAACCCACCGTGTGTTCAACCCACCGTGTGTTGAACCCACCGTGTGTTCAACCCACCATGTGTTCAACCCACCGTATGTTCAACCCACCGTGTGTTCAACCTCTCGTATGTTCATCCCACCGTGTGTTTCACCCAATGTGTGATCAACCCACCGTGTGTTCAACCCACCATGTGTTCAACCCACCGTGTGTTCAACGCACAATGTGTTGAACCCACCGTGTGTTCAACGCACTGTGTGTTCAACCAACCGTTTGTTCAACTCACCGTGTGTTCAACCCACCTTGTGTTCAACCCACCGTGTGTTCAACCTACCGTGTGTTCAACCCACCTTGTGTTCAACCCACCGTGTGTTCCACCCACCGTGTGTTCAACCCACCTTGTGTTCAACCCACCGTGTGTTCCACCCACCGTGTGTTCAACGCACCGTGTGTTGAACCCACCGTGTGTTCAACCCACCCTGTGTTCAACCCACCGTGTGTTCCACCCACCTTGTGTTCAACGCATCGTGTGTTGAACCCACCGTGTGTTCAACCCGCTGTGTGTTCAACCCACCGTGTGTTCATCCCACCGTGTGTTCAACCTATCGTGTGTTCAACCCACCGTGTGTTCCACCAACCTTCTGATCAACCCACCGTGTGTTCAACCCACCATGTGTTCAACCCACCGTGTGTTCCATCCACCATGTATTCAACGCACCGTGTGTTGAACCCACCGTGTGTTCAACCCACCGTGTGTTCAACCCACCGTGTGTTCAACCCACAGTTTGTTCAACCCACCGTGTGTTGAACCCACCGTGTGTTCAACTGACCGTGTGTTCAACCTACCGTGTGTTCAACCCACCTTGTGTTCAACCCACCGTATGTTCCACCCACTGTGTGTTCAACCCACCGTGTGTTCAACCCACCGTGTGTTCAACCCACTGTGTGATCAGCCCACCGTATGTTCAACCCACCGTGTGTTCAACCCACCGTGTGTTCCACCCACCGTGTGTTCAACGCACCGTGTGTTCAACCCACCATGTTTTGAACCCACCGTATGTTCAACCCACCGTGTGTTCAACCCACCGTGTGTTCAACCCACTATGTGATCAGCCCACCGTATGTTCAACCCACCGTGTGTTCAACCCACCGTGTGTTCCACCCACCGTGTGTTCAACGCACCGTGTGTTGAACCCACCATGTTTTGAACCCACCGTATGTTCAACCCAATGTGTGTTCAACCCACCATGTGTTCCACCCACCGTGTGTTCAACACACCGTGAGTTGAACCCACCGTGTGTTGAACCCACCGTGTGTTGAACCCACCGTGTGTTGAACCCACCGTGTGTTCCACCCACCGTGTGATCAACCCACCGTGTGCTCAACCCACTGTGTGTTCAACCCACCGTGTGTTCCACCCACCGTGTGTTCAACGCACCGTGTGTTCAACCAACCGTGTGTTCAACATACCGTGTGTTCAACCTACCGTGTGTTCAACCCACCGTGTGTTCAACCCACCGTGTGTTCAACCTAACGTGTGTGCAATCCACCGTGAGTTCAACCCAACGTGTGTTCCACCCACCATGTGATCAACCCACCGTGTGTTCAACCCACCTTGTGTTCAACCCACCATGTGTTCAACCCACCGTGTGTTCATCGCACCGTGTGTTGAACCCACCGTGTGTTGAACCCACCGTGTGTTCAACGCACCGTGTGTTCAACCCACCGTTTGTTCAACCCACCGTGTGCTCAACCTACCGTGTGTTCAACCCACCTTGTGTTCAACCCACCGTGTGTTCCACCCACCGTGTGTTCAACGCACCGTGTGTTGAACCCACCGTGTGTACAACCCACCCTGTGTTCAACCCACCGTGTGTTCCACCCACCGTGTGTTCAACGCATCGTGTGTTGAACCCACCGTGTGTTCAACCCACCGTATGTTCAACCCACCGTGTGTTTAACCTATCGTGTGTTCAACCCACCGTGTGTTGGAAAGCGGGAGAATGGGGCGGGGTGATGGAAAGCAGGAAAATGGAGCGGGGTGATGGAAAGCGGAAGTTTGGGGCGGGGTGATGGAAAGCGGGAGAATGGAGCGGGGCGATGGAAAGAGGGAGAATGGGGCGGGGTGATGGAAGGCAGGAGAATGGGGCGGGGTGATGGAAAGAGGGAGAATGGGGCGGGGTGATGGAAAGAGGGAGAATGGGGCGGGGTGATGGAAAGCGGGAGAATGGGGCGGGGTGATGGAAAGAGGGAGAATGGGGCGGGGTGATGGAAAGCGGGAGAATGGGGAGGGGTGATGGAAAGAGGGAGAATGGGGAGGGGTACTGGGAAGAGGGAGAATTGGGCGGGGTGATGGAAAGCGGGAGAATGGAGCGGGGTGATGGAAAGCGGGAGAATGAGGCGGGGTGATGGAAAGCGGGAGAATGGGGCGGGGTGATGGAAAGCGGGAGAATGGGGCGGGGTGATGGAAAGAGGGAGAATTGGGCGGGCTGATGCAAAGAGGGAGAATGGGGCGGGGTGATGGAAAGTGGGACAATGGGGAGGGGTGATGGAAATCGGGAGAATGGGGCGGGGTGATGGAAAGTGGGAGAATGGGGCGGGGTGATGGAAAGACGGAGAATAGGGCGGGGTGATGGAAAGCGGGAGAACGGGGCGGGGTGATGGAAAGAGGGAGAATGGGGCGGGGTGATGGAAAGAGGGAGAATGGGGTGGGTGATGGAAAGCGGGAGAATGGGGCGGGTGATGGAAAGCGGGAGAATGGAGCGGGGTGATGGAAAGCGGGAGAATGGGGCGGGGTGATGGAAAGCAGGAGAATGGAGCGGGGTGATGGAAAGAGGGAGAATAGGGCAGGGTGATGGAAAGCGGGAGAATGGGGCAGGGTGATGGAAAGAGGGAGAATGGGGCGGGTTGATGGAAAGCGGGAGGATGGAGCAGGGTGATGGAAAGTGGGAGAATTGGGCGAGGTGATGGAAATCGGGAGAATGGGGCGGGGTGATGGAAAGAGAAGAATTTGGTGGGGTGATGGATAGAGGGAGAATGGGGCGGGGTGATGGAAAGCGGGAGAATTGGGCTGGGTGATGGATAGAGGGAGAATGGGGCAGGGTGATGGAAAGAGGGAGAATGGGGCGGGGTGATGGAAAGCGGGAGAATGGGGCAGGGTGATGGAAAGCGGGAGAATGGGGCAGGGTGATGGAAAGAGGGAGAATGGGGCGGGCTGATGGAAAGAGGGAGAATGGGGTGGGGTGATGGAAATCGGGAGAATGGGGCGGGTCGATGGAAAGCGGGAGAATGGGGCGGGGTGATGGAAATCGGGAGAATGGGGCGGGGTGATGGAAAGAGGGAGAATGGGGTGGGGTGATAGAAAGCGGGAGAATGGAGCGAGGTGATGGAAAGAGGGAGAATGGGAAGGGGTGATGAAAAGCGGGAGAATGGAGCGGTGTGATGGAAAGCAGGAGAATGGGGCAGGGTCATGGAAAGCGGGAGAATGGGGCGGGGGAATGGAAAGAGGGAGAATGGGGCGGGGTGATGGAAAGCGGGAGAATGGGACGGGGTGATGGAAAGCGTGAGAATTGGGCGGGCTGATGGAAAGAGGGAGAATGGGGCGGGGTGATGGAAAGCGGGAGAATGGGTCGGGGTGATGGAAAGAGGGAGATTAGGGCGGGGTGATGGAAAGAGGGAGAATGGGGCGGGTTGATGGAAAGCGGGAGAATGGGGCAGGGTGATGGAATGCGGGAGAATGGGGCGGGGTGATGGAAAGAGGGAGAATGGGGCGGGCTGATGGAAAGAGGGAGAATGGGGTGGGGTGATGGAAATCGGGAGAATGGGGCGGGTCGATGGAAAGCGGGAGAATGGGGCGGGGTGATGGAAATCGGGAGAATGGGGCGGGGTGATGGAAAGAGGGAGAATGGGGTGGGGTGATAGAAAGCGGGAGAATGGAGCGAGGTGATGGAAAGAGGGAGAATGGGAAGGGGTGATGAAAAGCGGGAGAATGGAGCGGTGTGATGGAAAGCAGGAGAATGGGGCAGGGTCATGGAAAGCGGGAGAATGGGGCGGGGGAATGGAAAGAGGGAGAATGGGGCGGGGTGATGGAAAGCGGGAGAATGGGACGGGGTGATGGAAAGCGTGAGAATTGGGCGGGCTGATGGAAAGAGGGAGAATGGGGCGGGGTGATGGAAAGCGGGAGAATGGGTCGGGGTGATGGAAAGAGGGAGATTAGGGCGGGGTGATGGAAAGAGGGAGAATGGGGTGGGGTGATAGAAAGCGGGAGAATGGAGCGAGGTGATGGAAAGAGGGAGAATGGGAAGGGGTGATGAAAAGCGGGAGAATGGAGCGGTGTGATGGAAAGCAGGAGAATGGGGCAGGGTCATGGAAAGCGGGAGAATGGGGCGGGGGAATGGAAAGAGGGAGAATGGGGCGGGGTGATGGAAAGCGGGAGAATGGGACGGGGTGATGGAAAGCGTGAGAATTGGGCGGGCTGATGGAAAGAGGGAGAATGGGGCGGGGTGATGGAAAGCGGGAGAATGGGTCGGGGTGATGGAAAGAGGGAGATTAGGGCGGGGTGATGGAAAGAGGGAGAATGGGGCGGGTTGATGGAAAGCGGGAGAATGGGGCAGGGTGATGGAATGCGGGAGAATGGGGCGGGGTGATGGAAAGAGGGAGAATGGGGCGGGCTGATGGAAAGAGGGAGAATGGGGTGGGGTGATGGAAATCGGGAGAATGGGGCGGGTCGATGGAAAGCGGGAGAATGGGGCGGGGTGATGGAAATCGGGAGAATGGGGCGGGGTGATGGAAAGAGGGAGAATGGGGTGGGGTGATAGAAAGCGGGAGAATGGAGCGAGGTGATGGAAAGAGGGAGAATGGGAAGGGGTGATGAAAAGCGGGAGAATGGAGCGGTGTGATGGAAAGCAGGAGAATGGGGCAGGGTCATGGAAAGCGGGAGAATGGGGCGGGGGAATGGAAAGAGGGAGAATGGGGCGGGGTGATGGAAAGCGGGAGAATGGGACGGGGTGATGGAAAGCGTGAGAATTGGGCGGGCTGATGGAAAGAGGGAGAATGGGGCGGGGTGATGGAAAGCGGGAGAATGGGTCGGGGTGATGGAAAGAGGGAGATTAGGGCGGGGTGATGGAAAGAGGGAGAATGGGGCGGGTTGATGGAAAGCGGGAGAATGGGGCGGGGTGATGGAAAGCGGGAGAATGGGGCGGGGTGATGGAAAGGGGGAGAATGGTGCGGGGTGATTGAAAGCGGGAGAATGGGGTGGGGTGATGGAAAGAGGGAGAATGAGGGAGGGTGATGGAAAGAGGGAGAATGGGGCGGGGTGATGGAAAGAGGGACAATGGGGCGGGGTGATGGAAAGCGGGAGAATGGGGCGGGGTGATGGAAAGCGGGAGAATGAGGCGGGGTGATGGAAAGAGGGAGAATGGCTTGGGGTGATGGAAAGCGGGAGAATGGGGCAGGGTGATGGAAAGCGGGAGAATGGGGCGGGGTGATGGAAAGCGGGAGAATGGGGCGGGGTGATGGAAAGCGGGAGAATGGGGCGGGGTCATGGAAAGCGGGAGAATGGGGCGCGGTGATGGAAAGCGGGAATGGGGCGGGGTGATGGAAAGCGGGAGAATGGGGCGGGGTCATGGATAGCGGGAGAATGGGGCGGGATGATGAGACTGGTGGTTGAAACCTGTTGATTGATAATAAACGTGTTATTTCCAGACGTCTCAAAGTAACTCTTTCATCACGTGGCTGGTGAGATGAAAGTAACTCTTTCATCAGATGGTGAGATGAAAGTTATTATTCGTCAGATGGTGAGATGAAAGTAACTCTTTGAACAGGTGGTGAGATGGAAGTAACTCTTCCATCAGATGGTGAGATGAAAGTAACTCTTTCGTCAGATAGTGAGATGAAAGTTATTATTCATCACATGGTGAGATGAAAATAACTCTTTCATGAGATGGTGAGATGAAAGTAACTCTTTCATCAGATGGTGAGATGAAAGTAACTCTTTCATCAGATGGTGAGATGGAAGTTATTATTCATCAGATGGTGAGATGAAAGTAACTCTTTCATCAGATGGTGAGATGAAAGTAACTTTTTCATCAGATGGTGAGATGAAAGTAACTCTTTCATGAGATGGTGAGATGAATGTACCTCTTTCATCAGATGCTGAGATGAAAGTACCTCTTTCATCAGATGGTGAGATGAAAGTAACTCTTTCATCAAATGGTGAGATGAAAGTACCTCTTTCATCAGATGGTAAGATGAAAGTAACCCTTTCATCAGATGGTGAGATGAAAATGCCTCTTTCATCAGATGGTGAGCAGGAGAATGGGGCGGGGTGATGGAAAGCGGGAGAATGGGGCGGGCCGATGGAAAGTGGGAGAATGGGGCGGGGTGATGGAAGGAGGGAGAATGGGGCGGGGTGATGGAAGGAGGGAGAATGGGGCGGGTGATGAAAGGAGGGTGAATGGGGCGGGGTTATGGAAAGCAAGAGAATGGGGCGGGGTGATGGAAAGCAGGAGAATGGGGCGGGGTGATGGAAGGAGGGAGAATGGGGCGGGGTGATGGAAAGCAGGAGATTTGGGCAGGGTGATGGAAAGCGGGAGAATGGGGCGGGGTGATGGAAAGCGGGAAAATGGGGCGGGGTGATGGAAAGCGAGAGAATGGGGTAGGGTGATGGAAAGCAGGAGAATGGGGCGGGGTGATGGAAAGCGGGAGAATGGGGCGGGGTGATGGAAGGAGGGAGAATGAGGCGGGGTGATGGAAGGAGGGAGAATGGGGCGGGTTGATGGAAAGCGGGAGAATGGGGCGGGGTGATGGAAAGCGGGAGAATGGGGCGGAGTGATGGAAAGCGGGAGAATGGGGCGGGGTGATGGAAAGCGGGAGAATGGGGCGGGGTGATGGAAAGCGGGAGAACGGGGCGGGGTGTTGGAAAGCGGGAGAATGGGGCGGGGTGATGAAAAGCGGGAGGATGGGGCGGGGTGATGGAAAGCGGGAGAACGGGGCGGGGTGATGGAAAGCAGGAGAATGGGGCGGGGTCATGGAAAGCGGGAGAATGGGGCGGGGTGATGGAAAGCGGGAGAATGGGGCGGGGTGATGAAAAGCGGAAGAATGGGGCGGGGTGAAGAAAAGCGGGAGAATGGGGCGGGCTGATGGAAAGAGGGGGAATGGGGAGGGGTGATGGAAAGAGGGAGAATGGGGTAGGGTGATGAAAAGCGGAAGAATGGGGCGGGGTGATGGAAAGAGGGAGAATGGGGCGGGGTGATGAAAAGCGGGAGAATGGGGCGGGGTGATGGATAGCGGGAGAATGGAGCGGGGTGATGGAAAGCGGGAGAGTGGGGCGGGGTGATGGAAAACGGGAGAATGGGGTGGGGTGATGGAAAGCGGGAGAATGGGGCAGGCTGATGGAAAGAGGGGGAATGGGGTGGGGTGATGGAAAGAGGGAGAATGGGGTAGGGTGATGGAAAGAGGGAGAATGGGGCGGGGTGATAGAAAGCGGGAGAATGGAGCGGGGTGATGGAAAGCGGGAGAATGGGACAGAGGTGATGGAAAGAGGGAGAATGGGGCGAGGTGATGGAAAGAGGGAGAATGGGGCGAGGTGATGGAAAGAGGGAGAATGGGGCGTGGTGATGGAAAGCGGGAGAACGGGGCGGGGTGATGGAAAGAGGGAGAATGGGGCGGGGTGATGGAAAGCGGGAGAATGGGGCGGGGTGATGGAAAGCAGGAAAATGGAGCGGGGTGATGGAAAGCGGAAGAATGGGGCGGGGTGATGGAAAGCGGGAGAATGGAGCGGGGCGATGGAAAGAGGGAGAATGGGGCGGGGTGATGGAAGGCAGGAGAATGGGGCGGGGTGATGGAAAGAGGGAGAATGGGGCGGGGTGATGGAAAGCGGGAGAATGGGGCGGGGTGATGGAAAGAGGGAGAATGGGGCGGGGTGATGGAAAGCGGGAGAATGGGGAGGGGTGATGGAAAGAGGGAGAATGGGGAGGGGTACTGGGAAGAGGGAGAATTGGGCGGGGTGATGGAAAGCGGGAGAATGGAGCGGGGTGATGGAAAGCGGGAGAATGAGGCGGGGTGATGGAAAGCGGGAGAATGGGGCGGGGTGATGGAAAGTGGGAGAATGGGGCGGGGTGATGGAAAGAGGGAGAATGGGGCGGGCTGATGCAAAGAGGGAGAATGGGGCGGGGTGATGGAAAGTGGGACAATGGGGAGGGGTGATGGAAATCGGGAGAATGGGGCGGGGTGATGGAAAGTGGGAGAATCGGGCGGGGTGATGGAAAGGGGGAGAATGGGGCGGGGTGATGGAAAGCGGGAGAATGGGGCGGGGTGATTGAATGTGGGAGACTGGGGCGGGGTGATGGAAAGACGGAGAATAGGGCGGGGTGATGGAAAGCGGGAGAACGGGGCGGGGTGATGGAAAGAGGGAGAATGGGGCGGGGTGATGGAAAGAGGGAGAATGGGGTGGGTGATGGAAAGCGGGAGAATGGGGCGGGTGATGGAAAGCGGGAGAATGGAGCGGGGTGATGGAAAGCGGGAGAATGGGGCGGGGTGATGGAAAGCAGGAGAATGGAGCGGGGTGATGGAAAGAGGGAGAATAGGGCAGGGTGATGGAAAGCGGGAGAATGGGGCAGGGTGATGGAAAGAGGGAGAATGGGGCGGGTTGATGGAAAGCGGGAGGATGGAGCGGGGTGATGGAAAGTGGGAGAATTGGGCGAGGTGATGGAAAGCGGGAGAATGGGGCGGGGTGATGGACAGAGAAGAATTTGGTGGGGTGATGGATAGAAGGAGAATGGGGCGGGGTGATGGAAAGCGGGAGAATTGGGCCGGGTGATGGATAGAGGGAGAATGGGGCAGGGTGATGGGAAGAGGGAGAATGGGGCGGGGTGATGGAAAGCGGGAGAATGGGGCAGGGTGATGGAATGCGGGAGAATGGGGCGGGGTGATGGAAAGAGGGAGAATGGGGCAGGCTGATGGAAAGAGGGAGAATGGGGTGGGGTGATGGAAATCGGGAGAATGGGGCGGGTCGATGGAAAGCGGGAGAATGGGGCGGGGTGATGGAAATCGGGAGAATGGGGCGGGGTGATGGAAAGAGGGAGAATGGGGTGGGGTGATAGAAAGCGGGAGAATGGAGCGAGGTGATGGAAAGAGGGAGAATGGGAAGGGGTGATGAAAAGCGGGAGAATGGAGCGGTGTGATGGAAAGCAGGAGAATGGGGCAGGGTCATGGAAAGCGGGAGAATGGGGCGGGGGAATGGAAAGAGGGAGAATGGGGCGAGGTGATGGAAAGCGGGAGAATGGGACGGGGTGATGGAAAGCGTGAGAATTGGGCGGGCTGATGGAAAGAGGGAGAATGGGGCGGGGTGATGGAAAGCGGGAGAATGGGTCGGGGTGATGGAAAGAGGGAGATTAGGGCGGGGTGATGGAAAGAGGGAGAATGGGGCGGGTTGATGGAAAGCGGGAGAATGGGGCGGGGTGATGGAAAGCGAGAGAATGGGGCGGGGTGATGGAAAGGGGGAGAATGGGGCGGGGTGATTGAAAGCGGGAGAATGGGGTGGGGTTATGGAAAGAGGGAGAATGAGGTAGGGTGATGGAAAGAGGGAGAATGGGGCGGGGTGATGGAAAGAGGGACAATGGGGCGGGGTGATGGAAAGCGGGAGAATGGGGCGGGGTGATGGAAAGCGGGAGAATGAGGCGGGGTGATGGAAAGAGGGAGAATGGCTTGGGGTGATGGAAAGCGGGAGAATGGGGCAGGGTGATGGAAAGCGGGAGAATGGGGCGGGGTGATGGAAAGCGGGAGAATGGGGCGGGGTGATGGAAAGCGGGAGAATGGGGCGGGGTGATGGAAAGCGGGAGAATGGGGCGCGGTGATGGAAAGCGGGAATGGGGCGGGGTGATGGAAAGCGGGAGAATGGGGCGGGGTCATGGATAGCGGGAGAATGGGGCGGGATGATGAGACTGGTGGTTGAAACCTGGTGATTGATAATAAACGTGTTATTTCCAGACGTCTCAAAGTAACTCTTTCATCACGTGGCTGGTGAGATGAAAGTAACTCTTTCATCAGATGGTGAGATGAAAGTTATTATTCGTCAGATGGTGAGATGAAAGTAACTCTTTGAACAGGTGGTGAGATGGAAGTAACTCTTCCATCAGATGGTGAGATGAAAGTAACTCTTTCGTCAGATAGTGAGATGAAAGTTATTATTCATCACATGGTGAGATGAAAATAACTCTTTCATGAGATGGTGAGATGAAAGTAACTCTTTCATCAGATGGTGAGATGAAAGTAACTCTTTCATCAGATGGTGAGATGGAAGTTATTATTCATCAGATGGTGAGATGAAAGTAACTCTTTCATCAGATGGTGAGATGAAAGTAACTTTTTCATCAGATGGTGAGATGAAAGTAACTCTTTCATGAGATGGTGAGATGAATGTACCTCTTTCATCAGATGCTGAGATGAAAGTACCTCTTTCATCAGATGGTGAGATGAAAGTAACTCTTTCATCAAATGGTGAGATGAAAGTACCTCTTTCATCAGATGGTGAGATGAAAGAAACCCTTTCATCAAATGGTGAGATGAAAATACCTCTTTCATCAGATGGTGAGCAGGAGAATGGGGCGGGGTGATGGAAAGCGGGAGAATGGGGCGGGCCGATGGAAAGTGGGAGAATGGGGCGGGGTGATGGAAGGAGGGAGAATGGGGCGGGGTGATGGAAGGAGGGAGAATGGGGCGGGTGATGAAAGGAGGGTGAATGGGGCGGGGTTATGGAAAGCGAGAGAATGGGGCGGGGTGATGGAAAGCGGGAGAATGGGGCGGGGTGATGGAAGGAGGGAGAATGGGGCGGGGTGATGGAAAGCAGGAGATTTGGGCAGGGTGATGGAAAGCGGGAGAATGGGGCGGGGTGATGGAAAGCGGGAAAATGGGGCGGGGTGATGGAAAGCGAGAGAATAGGGTAGGGTGATGGAAAGCAGGAGAATGGGGCGGGGTGATGGAAAGCGGGAGAATGGGGCGGGGTGATGGAAGGAGGGAGAATGAGGCGGGGTGATGGAAGGAGGGAGAATGGGGCGGGTTGATGGAAAGCGGGAGAATGGGGCGGGGTGATGGAAAGCGGGAGAATGGGGCGGAGTGATGGAAAGCGGGAGAATGGGGCGGGGTGATGGAAAGCGGGAGAATGGGGCGGGGTGATGGAAAGCGGAAGAACGGGGCGGGGTGTTGGAAAGCGGGAGAATGGGGCGGGGTGATGAAAAGCGGGAGGATGGGGCGGGGTGATGGAAAGCGGGAGAACGGGGCGGGGTGATGGAAAGCGGGAGAATGGGGCGGGTTATGGAATGCGGGTGAATGGGGCGGGGTGATTGAAAGCGGGAGAATGGGGCGGGTTGATGGAAAGCAGAAGAATGGGGCGAGGTGATGGAAAGCGGGAGAATGGGGCGGGGTGACGAAAAGCGGGAGAATGGGGCAGGGTGATGGAAAGAGGGAGAATGGGGCGGGGTGATGGAAAGCGGGAGAATGGGGCGTGGTGATGGAAAGCGGGAGAATGGGGCAGGGTGATGGAAAGCGGGAGAATGGGGCGGGGTGATGGAAAGCGGGAGAATGGGGCGGGGTGATGGAAGGAGGTAGAATGAGGCGGGGTGATGGAAGGAGAAGAATGGTGCGGGGTGATGGAAAGCGGGAGAATGGGGCGGGGTGATGGAAAGCGGGAGAATGGGGCGGAGTGATGGAAAGCGGGAATGGGGCGGGGTGATGGAAAGCGGGAGAATGGGGCGGGGTCATGGATAGCGGGAGAATGAGGCAGGGTGATGGAACGAGGGAGAATGGCTTGGGGTGATGGAAAGCGGGAGAATGGGGCAGGGTGATGGAAAGCGGGAGAATGGGGCGGGGTGATTGAAAGCGGGAGAATGGGGCGGGGTGATGGAAAGCGGGAGAATGGGGCGGGGTGATGGAAAGCGGGAGAATGGGGCGCGGTGATGGAAAGCGGGAATGGGGCGGGGAGATAGAAAGCGGGAGAATGGGGCGGGGTCATGGATAGCGGGAGAATGGGGCGGGATGATGAGACTGGTGGTTGAAACCTGGTGATTGATAATAAACGTGTTATTTCCTGACGTCTCAAAGTAACTCTTTCATCACGTGGCTGGTGAGATGAAAGTAACTCTTTCATCAGATGGTGAGATGAAAGTTATTATTCGTCAGATGGTGAGATGAAAGTAACTCTTTGAACAGGTGGTGAGATGGAAGTAACTCTTCCATCAGATGGTGATATGAAAGTAACTCTTTCATCAGATAGTGAGATGAAAGTTATTATTCATCACATGGTGAGATGAAAATAACTCTTTCATGAGATGGTGAGATGAAATTAACTCTTTCATCAGATGGTGAGATGAAAGTAACTCTTTCATCAGATGGTGAGATGGAAGTTATTATTCATCAGATGGTGAGATGAAAGTAACTCTTTCATCAGATGGTGAGATGAAAGTAACTTTTTCATCAGATGGTGAGATGAAAGTAACTCTTTCATCAGATGGTGAGATGAATGTACCTCTTTCATCAGATGCTGAGATGAAAGTACCTCTTTCATCAGATGGTGAGATGAAAGTAACTCTTTCATCAAATGGTGAGATGAAAGTACCTCTTTCATCAGATGGTGAGATGAAAGTAACCCTTTCATCAGATGGTGAGATGAAAATACCTCTTTCATCAGATGGTGAGCAGGAGAATGGGGCGGGGTGATGGAAAGCGGGAGAATGGGGCAGGCCGATGGAAAGTGGGAGAATGGGGCGGGGTGATGGAAAGCGGGAGAATGGGGCGGGGTGATGGAAAGCGGGAGAATGGGGCGGGGTGAAGGAAGGAGGGAGAATGGGGCGGGGTGATGGAAAGCAGGAGATTTGGGCAGGGTGATGGAAAGCGGGAGAATGGGGCGGGGTGATGGAAAGCGGAAAAATGGTGCGGGGTGATGGAAAGCGAGAGAATGGGGCTGGGTGATGGAAAGCAGGAGAATGGGGTGGGGTGATGGAAAGCGGGAGAATGGGGCGGGGTGATGGAAGGAGGGAGAATGAGGCGGGGTGATGGAAGGAGGGAGAATGGGGCGGGTTGATGGAAAGCGGGAGAATGGGGCGGAGTGATGGAAAGTGGGAGAATGGGGCGGAGTGATGGAAAGCGGGAGAATGGGGCGGGGTGATGGAAAGCGGGAGAATGGGGCAGGGTGATGGAAAGCGGGAGAATGGGGCGTGGTGATGGAAAGCGAGAGAATGGGGCGGGGTGATGGGAGAATGGGGCGGGGTGATGGAAAGCGGGAGCATGGGGCGGGGTGATGGAAAGCGGGAGAATGGGGCGGGGTGATGGAAGGAGGGAGAATGGGGCAGGGTGATGGAAAGCGGGAGAATGGGGCGGGGTGATGGAAAGCGGGAGAATGGGGCGGGGTGATGAAAAGCGGGAGAATGGGGCGGGGTGATGGAAAGCGGGAGCATGGGGCGGGGTGATGGAATTAGGTAGAATGAGGCTGGGTGATGGAAAGTGGGAGAATGTGGCGGGCTGATGGAAAGCGGGAGAATGGGGCGGAGTTATAGAAAGCGGGAGAATGGGGCGGGGTGACGGAAAGCGGGAGAATGGGGCAGGGTGATGGAAGGAGGGAGAATGGGGCGGGGTGATGGAAAGCGGGAGAATGGGGCGTGGTGATGGAAAGCGGGAGAATGGGGCAGGGTGAGGGAAAGTGGGAGAATAGGGCGGGGTGATGGAAAGCAGGAGAATGGGGCGGGGTGATGGAAGGAGGTAGAATGAGGCGGGGTGATGGAAGGAGAAGAATGGGGCGGGGTGATGGAAAGCAGGAGAATGGGGCGGTGTGATGGAAAGCGGGAGAATGGGGCGGTGTGATGGAAAGCGGGAGAACGGGGCGGGGTGATGGAAAGCGGGAGAATGGGGCGTGGTGATGGAAAGCGGGAGAATGGGGCGGGGTGATGGGAGAATGGGGCGGGGTGATGGAAAGCGGGAGAATGGGGCAGGGTGATGGAAAGCGGGAGTATGGGGCGGGGAGATGGAAAGCGGTAGAATAGGCTGGGGTGATGGAAAGTGGGAGAATGGGGCGGGGTGATGGAAAGCCGGACAATGGGGCGGGGTGAAGGAAAGCGGGAGAATGGGGCGGGGTGATGGAAGGAGGTAGAATGAGGCGGGGTGATGGAAGAAGAAGAATGGGGCGGGGTGATGGAAAGAAGGAGAATGGGGTGGGGTGATGGAAAGCGGGAGAATGGGGCGGAGTGATGGAAAGCGGGAGAATGGGGCGGGGTGATGGAAAGCGGGAGAATGGGGCGTGGTGATGGAAAGCGGGAGAATGGGGCGGGGTGATGGGAGAATGGGGCGGGGTGATGGAAAGCGGGAGAATGGGGCGGGGTGATGGAAGGAGGGAGAATGGGGCGGGGTGATGGAAGGAAGGAGAATGGGGCGGGGTGATGGAAAGCGGGAGAATGTGGCGGGGTGATGGAAAGCGGGAGAATGGGGTGGGGTTATGGGAAGCGGGAGAATGGGGCGGGGTGATGGAAAGGGGGAGAATGGGGCGGGGTGATGAAAAGCGGGAGAAAGGGGCGGGGTGATGGAAAGCGGGAGAATGGGGTGGGCTGATGGAAAGCGGGAGAATGGGGCGGGGTGATGGAAGGAAGGAGAATGGGGCGGGGTGATAGAAGGAGAGAGAAGGGGGCGGGGTGATGGAAAGTGGGAAAATGTGGGGGGGTGATGGAAAGCGGGAGAATGGGGTAGGGTTATGGGAAGCGGGAGAATAGGGCGGGGTGATGGAAAGCGGGAGAATGGGGCGGGGTGATGGAAAGCGGGAGAATGGGGCTGGGTGATGGAAAGAGGGAGAATGGGGCGGGCTGATGGAAAGAGGGAGAATGGGGCGGGGTGATGGAAAGGGAGAGAATGGGGCGGGATGATGGAAAGGGGGAGAATGGGGCGGGGTGATGGAAAGCGGGAGAATGGGGCGGGGTGATGGAAAGCGGGAGAATGGGGCTGGGTGATGGGAAAGAGGGAGAATTGGGCGGGGTGATGGAAAGCGAGAGAATGGGGCGGGGTGATGGAAAGGGAGAGAATGGGGCGGGGTGATGGAAAGCAGGAGAACGGGGCGGGGTGATGGAAAGCGGGAGAACGGGGCGGGGTGATGGAAAGAGGGAGAATGGGGCGGGGTGATGGAAAGTGGGAGAATGTGGCAAGGTGATGGAAAGGGGGACAATGGGGCGGGGTGATGGAAAGTGAGAGAACGGGGCGGGGTGATGGAAAGCGGGAGAACGGGGCGGGGTGATGGAAAGAGGGAGAATTGGGCGGGGTGATGGAAAGCGAGAGAATGGGGCGGGGTGATGGAAAGTGGGAGAATGGGGCGGGGTGATGGAAAGCGGGAGAATGAGGCGGGGTGATGGAAAGCAGGAGAATGTGGCGGGGTGATGCAAAGCAGGAGAATGGGGTGGGGTTATGGGAAGCGGGAGAATGGGGCGGGGTGATGGAAAGCGGGAGAATGGGGCGGGGTGATGGAAGGAGGGAGAATGGGGCGGGGTGATGGAAGGAGGGAGAATGGGGCGGGGTGATGGAAAGAGGGAGAATGGGGCTGGGTGATGGAAAGAGGGAGAATGGGGCGGGCTGATGGAAAGAGGGAGAATGGGGCGGGGTGATGGAGAGGGAGAGAATGGGGCGGGGTGATGGAAAGCAGGAGAACGGGGCGGGGTGATGGAAAGCGGGAGAACGGGGCGGGGTGATGGAAAGAGGGAGAATGGGGCGGGGTGATGGAAAGCGGGAGAATGTGGCAAGGTGATGGAAAGGGGGACAATGGGGCGGGGTGATGGAAAGCAAGAGAACGGGGCGGGGTGATGGAAAGCGGGAGAACGGGGCGGGGTGATGGAAAGAGGGAGAATTGGGCGGGGTGATGGAAAGCGAGAGAACGGGGCGGGGTGATGGAAAGTGGGAGAATGGGGCGGGGTGATGGAAAGCGGGAGAATGGGGCGGGGTGATGGAAAGCAGGAGAATGTGGCGGGGTGATGCAAAGAGGGAGAATGGGGTGGGGTTATGGGAAGCGGGAGAATGGGGCGGGGTGATGGAAAGCGGGAGAATGGGGCGGGGTGATGGAAGGAGGGAGAATGGGGCAGGGTGATGGAAGGAGGGAGAATGGGGCGGGGTGATGGAAAGCGGGAGAATAGGGCGGGGTGATGGAAGGTGGGAGAATGGGACGGGGTGATGGAAATAGGGAGAATGGGCCGGGGTGATGGAAAGCGGGAGAATGGGGCTGGGTGATTGAAAGAGGGAGAATAGGGCGGGGTTATGGAAAGAGGGAGAATGGGGCGGGGTGATGAAAAAGCGGGAGAATGGGGTGGGGTAATGGAAAGCGGGAGAATGGGGCGGGGTGATCGAAAAGGGGAGAATGGGGCGGGCTGATCGAAAGCGGGAGAATGGGGGGGGGTGATGGAAAGGGGAGAATGGGGCGGGCTGATGGAAAGCGGGAGAATGGGGCGGGGTGATGGAAAGCGGAAGAATGGGGCGGGCTGATGGAAAGCGGGAGAATGGGGCGGGGAGATGGAAAGAGGGAGAATGGGGCGGGGTGATGGAAAGCGGAAGAATGGGGCGGGGAGATGGAAAGAGGGAGAATGGGGCGGGGTGATGGAAAGCGGAAGAATGGGGCGGGGTGATGGAAAGCGGGAGAATGGGGCGGGGTGATGGAAAGCGGGAGAATGGGTCGGGGTGATGGAAAGAGGGAGATTAGGGCGGGGTGATGGAAAGAGGGAGAATAGGGCGAGTTGATGGAAAGCGGGAGAATGGGGTGGGGTGATGGAAAGAGGGAGAATGGGGCAGGGTGATGGAAAGCGGGACAATGGGGCGGGGTGATGGAAAGAGGGACAATGGGGCGGGGTAATGGAAAGCGGGAGAATGGGGCGGGGTGATGGAAAGAGGGAGAACGGGGCAGTGTGATGGAAAGAGGGACAATGGGGCGGGGTGATGGAAAGAGGGACAATGGGGCGGGGTAATGGAAAGCGGGAGAATGGGGCGGGGTGATGGAAAGCGGGAGTATGAGGCGGGGTGATGGAAAGAGGGAGAACGGCTTGGGGTGATGGAAAGCGGGAGAATGGGGCGGGGTGATGGAAAGCGGGAGAATGGGGCGGGGTGATGGAAAGCGGGAGAATGGGGCGGGGTGATGGAAAGCTTGAGAATGGGGCGGGGTGATGGAAAGCGGGAGAATGGGGCGGAATGATAGAAATCGGGAGAATGGGGCGGGGTGATGGAAAGCGGGAGAAAGGGGCGGGCTGATGGAAAGCAGGAGAATGGGGCGGGGTGATGGAAAGCGGGAGAATGGGGCGGGGTGATGAAAGGCGGAAGAATGGGGCGGGGTGAAGAAAAGCGGGAGAATGGGGCGGGCTGATGGAAAGAGGGGGAATGGGGCGGGGTGATGGAAAGAGGGAGAATGGGGTAGGGTGATGAAAAGCGGAAGAATGGGGCGGGGTGATGGAAAGAGGGAGAATGGGGCGGGGTGAAGAAAAGAGGGAGAATGGGGCGGGTTGATGGAAGGAGGGAGAATGGGGCGGGGTGAATGGGGCGGGGTGATAGAAAGCGGAAGAATGGGGCGGGGTTATGGAAAGCGGGAGAATGGGGCGGGGTGATGGAAAGCGGGAGAATGGGGCGGGGTGATGGAAAGCGGGAGAATGGGGCGGGGTGATAGAAAGCGGGAGAATGGGGTGGGGTGATGGAAAGAGGGAGAATGGGGAGGGGTGATGGAAAGAGGGAGAATTGGGCGGGGTGATGGAAAGCGGGAGAATGGGGAGGGGTGATGGAAAACGGGAGAACGGGGCGGGGTGATGGAAAGCGGGAGAATGGGGCGGGGTGATGGAAAGCGGGAGAATGGGGCGGGGTGATGGAAAGAGGGAGAAAGGGGCGGGGTGATGGAAAGCGGGAGAATGAGGCGGGGTGATGGAAAGCGGGAGAATGGGGCGGGGTGATGGAAAGCGGGAGAATGGGACGGGGTGATGGAAAGCGGGAGAATGGGGCGGGGTGATGGAAAGCGGGAGAATGTGGCGGGCTGATGGAAAGCGGGAGAATGGGGCGGGGTTATAGAAAGCGGGAGAATGGGGCGGGGTGACGGAAAGCGGGAGAATGGGGCAGGGTGATGGAAGGAGGGAGAATGGGGCGGGGTGATGGAAAGCGGGAGAATGTGGCGGGCTGATGGAAAGCGGGAGAATGGGGCGGGGTTATAGAAAGCGGGAGAATGGGGCGGGGTGACGGAAAGCGGGAGAATGGGGCAGGGTGATGGAAGGAGGGAGAATGGGGCGGGGTGATGGAAAGCGGGAGAATGGGGCGTGGTGATGGAAAGCGGGAGAATGGGGCGGGATGAGGGAAAGCGGGAGAATAGGGCGGGGTGATGGAAAGCAGGAGAATGGGGCGGGGTGATGGAAGGAGGTAGAATGAGGCGGGGTGATGGAAGGAGAAGAATGGGGCGGGGTGATGGAAAGCAGGAGAATGGGGCGGGGTGATGGAAAGCGGGAGAATGGGGCGGAGTGATGGAAAGCGGGAGAATGGGGCGGGGTGATGGAAAGCGGGAGAATGGGGCGTGGTGATGGAAAGCGGGAGAATGGGGCGGGGTGATGGGAGAATGGGGCGGGGTGATGGAAAGCGGGAGAATGGGGCAGGGTGATGGAAAGCGGGAGTATGGGGCAGGGAGATGGAAAGCGGGAGAATAGGCTGGGGTGATGGAAAGTGGGAGAATGGGGCGGGGTGATGGAAAGCGGGACAATGGGGCGGGGTGATGGAAAGCGGGAGAATGGGGCGTGGTGATGGAAGGAGGTAGAATGAGGCGGGGTGATGGAAGGAGAAGAATGGGGCGGGGTGATGGAAAGAAGGAGAATGGGGTGGGGTGATGGAAAGCGGGAGAATGGGGCGGAGTGATGGAAAGCGGGAGGATGGGGCGGGGTGATGGAAAGCGGGAGAATGGGGTGTGGTGATGGAAAGCGGGAGAATGGGGCGGGGTGATGGGAGAATGGGGCGGGGTGATGGAAAGCCGGAGAATGGGGCGGGGTGATGGAAGGAGGGAGAATGGGGCGGGGTGATGGAAGGAAGGAGAATGGGGCGGGGTGATGGAAAGAGGGAGAATGTGGCGGGGTGATGGAAAGCGGGAGAATGGGGTGGGGTTATGGGAAGCGGGAGAATGGGGCGGGGTGATGGAAAGGGGGAGAATGGGGCGGGGTGATGAAAAGCGGGAGAAAGGGGCGGGGTGATGGAAAGCGGGAGAATGGGGTGGGCTGATGGAAAGCGGGAGAATGGGGAACACATGGTGGGTTGAACACACGGTGGCTTAAACACACGGTGGGTTGATCACACTGTGGGTGGAACACACGGTGGGTTGAACACACGGTGGGTTGATCACACGGTGGGTTGAACACACGTTGGGTGGAACACATGGTGGGTTGAACACATGGTGGGTTGAACATACGGTGGGTTGATCACACGGTGGGTTGATCACACGGTGGGTTGATCACACGGTGGGTTGAAAACACGGTGGGTTGAACACACGGTGGGTTGAACACACGGTGGGTTGAACACACGGTGGGTTGAACATACGGTGCGTTGAACACACGGTGGGTTGAACACACGGTGGGTTGAACACACGATAGGTTGAACACACGGTGGGTTGAACACACGGTGGGTTGAACACACGGTGGGTTCAACACACGGTGGGTTCAACACACGGTGGGTGGAACACACAGTGGGTTGAACATATGGTGGGTTGAACATACAGTGGGTTGAACACACAGTGGGTTGATCACACGGTGGGTTGAACTCACGGTGGGTGGAACACATGGTGGGTTGAACACATGGTGGGTTGAACATACGGTGGGTTGATCACACGGTGGGTTGATCACACAGTGGGTTGATCACACGGTGGGTTGATCACACGGTGGGTTGAACACACGGTGGGTTGATCACACGGTGGGTTCAACACACGGTGCGTTGAACACACGGTGTGTTGAACACACGGTGGGTGGATCACACGGTGGGTTGAACACATGGTGGGTTGAACATACGGTGGGTTGATCACACGGTGGGTTGATCACACGGTGGGTTGATCACACGGTGGGTTGATCACACGGTGGGTTGAACACACGGTGGGTTGAACACACGTTGGGTTGAACACACGGTGGGTTGAACACACAGTGCGTTGAACACACGGTGGGTTGAACACACGGTGGGTTGAACACACGATAAGTTGAACACACGGTGGGTTGAACACACGGTCGGTTCAACACACGGTGGGTTCAACACACGGTGGGTTCAACACACGGTGGGTGGAACACACAGTGGGTTGAACATATGGTGGGTTGAACATACAGTGGGTTGAACACACAGTGGGTTGATCACACGGTGGGTTGAACTCACGGTGGGTGGAACACATGGTGGGTTGAACACATGGTGGGTTGAACATACGGTGGGTTGATCACACGGTGGGTTGATCACACAGTGGGTTGATCACACGGTGGGTTGATCACACGGTGGGTTGAACACACGGTGGGTTGATCACACGGTGGGTTCAACACACGGTGGGTTGAACACACGGTGTGTTGAACACACGGTGGGTGGATCACACGGTGGGTTGAACACATGGTGGGTTGAACATACGGTGGGTTGATCACACGGTGGGTTGATCACACGGTGGGTTGATCACACGGTGGGTTGATCACACGGTGGGTTGAACACACGGTGGGTTGAACACACGTTGGGTTGAACACACGGTGGGTTGAACACACAGTGCGTTGAACACACGGTGGGTTGAACACACGGTGGGTTGAACACACGATAAGTTGAACACACGGTGGGTTGAACACACGGTGGGTTCAACACACGGTGGGTTGAACACACGGTGGGTTCAACACACAGTGGGTGGAACACACGGTGGGTTGAACATATGGTGGGTTCAACATACAGTGGGTTGAACACACGGTGGGTTGAACACACGATAGGTTGAGCACACGGTGGGTTCACCACACGGTGCGTTGAACACATGGTGGGTGGAACACATGGTGGGTTGAACACACGGTGGCTTAAACACACGGTGGGTTGATCACACTGTGGGTGGAACACACGGTGGGTTGAACACACGGTGGGTTGATCACACGGTGGGTTGAACACACGTTGGGTGGAACACATGGTGGGTTGAACACATGGTGGGTTGAACATACGGTGGGTTGATCACACGGTGGGTTGATCACACGGTGGGTTGATCACACGGTGGGTTGAACACACGTTGGGTGGAACACATGGTGGGTTGAACACATGGTGGGTTGAACATACGGTGGGTTGATCACACGGTGGGTTGATCACACGGTGGGTTGATCACACGGTGGGTTGAAAACACGGTGGGTTGAACACACGGTGGGTTGAACACACGGTGGGTTGAACACACGGTGGGTTGAACATACGGTGCGTTGAACACACGGTGGGTTGAACACACGGTGGGTTGAACACACGATAGGTTGAACACACGGTGGGTTGAACACACGGTGGGTTGAACACACGGTGGGTTCAACACACGGTGGGTTCAACACACGGTGGGTGGAACACACAGTGGGTTGAACATATGGTGGGTTGAACATACAGTGGGTTGAACTCACGGTGGGTTGAACACACGGTGGGTTGAACACACGGTGGGTTGAACACACGGTGGGTTGAACACACGATAGGTTGAGCACACGGTGGGTTGAACACACGGTGTGTTGAACACACGGTGGGTGGAACACACGGTGGGTTGAACACATGGTGGGTTTAACACACGGTGGGTTGATCACACCGTGGGTGGAACACACGTTGGGTTGGACACACAGTGGGTTGATCACACGGTGGGTTGAACTCACGGTGGGTGGAACACATGGTGGGTTGAACACATGGTGGGTTGAACATACGGTGGGTTGATCACACGGTGGGTTGATCACACAGTGGGTTGATCACACGGTGGGTTGATCACACGGTGGGTTGAACACACGGTGGGTTGATCACACGGTGGGTTCAACACACGGTGCGTTGAACACACGGTGGGTTGAACACACGGTGGGTTGAACACACGGTGGGTTGAACACACGATAGGTTGAGCACACGGTGGGTTGAACACACGGTGTGTTGAACACACGGTGGGTGGATCACACGGTGGGTTGAACACATGGTGGGTTGATTATACGGTGGGTTGATCACACGGTGGGTTGATCACACGGTGGGTTGATCACACGGTGGGTTGATCACACGGTGGGTTGAACACACGGTGGGTTGAACACACGTTGGGTTGAACACACGGTGGGTTGAACACACAGTGCGTTGAACACACGGTGGGTTGAACACACGGTGGGTTGAACACACGATAAGTTGAACACACGGTGGGTTGAACACACGGTGGGTTCAACACACGGTGGGTTGAACACACGGTGGGTTCAACACACAGTGGGTGGAACACACGGTGGGTTGAACATATGGTGGGTTCAACATACAGTGGGTTGAACACACGGTGGGTTGAACACACGATAGGTTGAGCACACGGTGGGTTGAACACACGGTGCGTTGAACACATGGTGGGTGGAACACATGGTGGGTTGAACACACGGTGGCTTAAACACACGGTGGGTTGATCACACTGTGGGTGGAACACACGGTGGGTTGAACACACGGTGGGTTGATCACACGGTGGGTTGAACACACGTTGGGTGGAACACATGGTGGGTTGAACACATGGTGGGTTGAACATACGGTGGGTTGATCACACGGTGGGTTGATCACACGGTGGGTTGAAAACACGGTGGGTTGAACACACGGTGGGTTGAACACACGGTGGGTTGAACACACGGTGGGTTGAACATACGGTGCGTTGAACACACGGTGGGTTGAACACACGGTGGGTTGAACACACGATAGGTTGAACACACGGTGGGTTGAACACACGGTGGGTTGAACACACGGTCGGTTCAACACACGGTGGGTTCAACACACGGTGGGTGGAACACACGGTGGGTTGAACATATGGTGGGTTGAACATACAGTGGGTTGAACTCACGGTGGGTTGAACACACGGTGGGTTGAACACACGGTGGGTTGAACACACGGTGGGTTGAACACACGATAGGTTGAGCACACGATGGGTTGAACACACGGTGTGTTGAACACACGGTGGGTGGAACACACGGTGGGTTGAACACACGGTGGGTGGAACACACGGTGGGTGGAACACACGGTGGGTGGAACACACGGTGGGTTTAACACACGGTGGGTTGATCACACCGTGGGTGGAACACACGTTGGGTTGAACACACAGTGGGTTGATCACACGGTGGGTTGAACTCACGGTGGGTGGAACACATGGTGGGTTGAACACATGGTGGGTTGAACATACGGTGGGTTGATCACACGGTGGGTTGATCACACAGTGGGTTGATCACACGGTGGGTTGATCACACGGTGGGTTGAACACACGGTGGGTTGATCACACGGTGGGTTCAACACACGGTGCGTTGAACACACGGTGGGTTGAACACACGGTGGGTTGAACACACGGTGGGTTGAACACACGATAGGTTGAGCACACAGTGGGTTGAACACACGGTGTGTTGAACACACGGTGGGTGGAACACACGGTGGGTTGAACACATGGTGGGTTGAACACACGGTGGGTTGATCACACGGTGGGTGAAACACACAGTGCGTTGAACACACGGTGGGTTGAACACACGGTGGATTGAACACACGGTGGGTTGAAGACACTGTGGATTCAACACACGGTGGGTTCAACACACGGTGCGTTGAACACACGGTGGGTGGAACACACGGTGGGTTGAACACATGGTGGGTTGAACACACGGTGGGCTGATCACACGTTTGGTTGAACACATGGTGGGTTCAACACACGGTGCGTTGAACACACGGTGGGTTGATCACATGGTGGGTTGAACACACGGTGGGTTGATCACACAGTGGGTTGATCACACGGTGGGTTGATCACACGGTGGGTTGAACACACGGTGGGTTGATCACACGGTGGGTTCAACACACGGTGCGTTGAACACACGGTGGGTTGAACACACGGTGGGTTGAACACACGGTGGGTTGAACACACGATAGGTTGAGCACACGGTGGGTTGAACACACGGTGTGTTGAACACACGGTGGGTGGAACACACGGTGGGTTGAACACATGGTGGGTTGAACACACGGTGGGTTGATCACACGGTGGGTGAAACACACAGTGCGTTGAACACACGGTGGGTTGAACACACGGTGGATTGAACACACGGTGGGTT